TATCATATTCCACAATTCTTCTTTTAGGGGGAATGAGTGTGTTGTAGAAAAGAATTTAAATACAATTTTCCCTCCAACGAAATATGTCACAGGGTAATTTCTGGATTTCCATTTACTGAGAGACTGACAAGGAGGAGGCTCAGCACGTTTATTATGTAGGTTTAAACATCAAAAGGATTTATTGTGAGAATGCTTCTTCAAGATAAACAAAACCAAAGTTGTGGGTAAAACAGTCCCATTAGGGCTTATCAACTTGCAGCCATAACTCTTTACCTCTGGGCAGCTGGTTTTTGAATCCAAGGCTATTGAACTTACAAATTCGTAGCTAGCACAGAATCTCCTATGAGCAGGGCATCACCATCAACTGGGCAGTTTTTGATGGACAGCTTCACACTGAGAAAAAGGGAAGGTGTTGCCTCTGTCTTTGGGCAATTTAAAGTAATGATTCATTCACCATTCCCAGCACAGAATCAATGTACACAGGATCAAAGCACTGGAGGCATGGTTTTCAGGCATATATTTTATATCTGGCAAATAGAGTGTCTATCTATTTTTCATCATGCATCAATACATTCATGTATTTACATGATTATTATATTATGTACTACTTCCAAAGATGATTAATAATAATGATAAAGCTAGCAGTAAGAAAGGTAACATATATAGAATCCCTGGATGAAAAACCTAAAGCAAGTGAGTGAAAATTTGATGTGCAAACTAGCCCAAGCCCCCTTCAGTAAATGAGGTTTTACAGGAGCACAGACCCACCCTCTATTTTTCATGTTGCTTCTCCCCATTTTTAAGCTACAATGGAATTGAGTATTATAGTTGCAAAGGGATGATATGGTCATAAACCAAAAATATGTTATCTCAGGGGTCCTACTTGGAACATGATAGTGAATCAACCCAATATTTTGAAAACCAGTAAATAAGCAAAAAATTCTGTCTTTCCTATGTAACTGGACATTAAGTTAACCAAATATTTGAGAAAGAAAAAATTCTCTTTAAAGCAGTATTTTGACTAGTGTATACTGAATAACTGAAATGAAGTAGTCAATTGTCTAGGAATGACTATAAGTCACAAAAAGATGACCGAAGAGACTTAATGTCTAAGAAGCAAAAACCATATGATTTATTTATTAAAAAAAGCAAAAAGTACCTAGATCAGTCCAGCCTCCAAGTCTAAATACAGATTTACTGAAATAAAGAAGACAGAGAAAAATATGAAACAATTTCTTCACAATGTAGTCATCAAAATCCAGGTTCCAGAAATCTATTTTCTTAAACAAATAAATATAAGGGATAATAAAAGAAGATCTAAAAGCTTCCACCAGAAGACTGCTAGAATGAATAAATAAATTCAGCAAAGTAGCAGGTTAAAAAAATCAACATACAAAAATCAGTAGTTTTCCTGTACAATAATAGTGAATCTGCCAAGAAAAAAAAATCAGGAAAATAGTCATATTCAAAATAGCCTTAAAAATAAAGAAGGTACCTAGGAATAAGTAGAACCAAGAAGACGAATACCTCTGCAATGAAAACTATAGAACACTGAAAAAGAAACTGAAGAAGACATAAGAAGATGGAAAAACCTCCCATGTTTATGGTCAGGAAGAAATAATATTGCTACAATATCCTTATTACCAAAGGCAATATATAGATTCAATGTAATTTACCATCAAAATGCCAATGATAATCTTCACAGACCTAGAAAAAATAGTTCTAAAATTCATTTAGAAATATAAAAGATCCAGAAAAGCCACAGAAATGTTAAGCCAAAAGAGCAATTCTGGAGGCATCACAATACCTGACTTCAAATTATCCTACAGATCCGCTCCTTAACAAAGGCAACAAAAACATACTTTGAATAAAAGACAGTCTGTTTTCCAAATAGTGCTTGGAAAACTGGTTACCTATATGTAGAAGATAAGACTAGATCCTTGCCTACAAAAACATCAACTCAGAATGGATCAAACACCTGGGAATTAGACCAGAAATTCTGCAACCAGAACAATACATGCATACCTATGTTTATAGCAGCACAATTTACAATAGTCAAATTATAAAATAAGTCTAGGTATTCATCAAGGGATGAATGAAAAAAGAAATTTCTGATATGTACAAACAATGGAGATTGTTTTTTCAGCCATAAAGCAGAATGAAATTATGTCATTTGTAAGAAAATATATGTAACTTGAGAAAATTATGTTTATCAAAATCAATCGACCTAAAACCTCCAAAATAACCCAACCTCAGAAACTTCAGGGTTGATTATTTTCCTTCATGTGGAAGACAGAAAAAAGCAAAAAAGAGGTGGTGGTGAGAAATCTCAAAATCAAAAATGGAGGTTAGTAGAGAAATAAGGGGAAAAGAGAAGGCCAGGGAGGGAAAGCAAGGAAATACTAGAGAATGATACTGGTCAAATTAGATTATTATATCATGTGTATGTATGATATGTAATAACAAGTCCCACCATTATGTATAATTATAACATACAAATAAAAATATTTTAAAACTGTATCCTGAAGAAAAATCAAGGAAAATAAAAAATCAGTAGTAGTGATGAAGCCTACAGATTAAATGAGACATAAGAGATCTATTGATAGGTCATAATGAGTAGACCATTTTTGAATTTTGTTGAAAATAAATTATTAATATGAATACTGACTACATACATGTTGGCATTGGAAATTTTTTGCTAATTTTGATGAAGTTATCATAAAATTATTAAAATTAATTTTTAACAGTTCTCATCTTTGAAAGACATATATCAAAATATTTAAAGTATAATGTTGTATCTCTGAGCAGTTTCAGAATAATGTAGTAGGGAGAAGTTTGGAATGGATGTAGAACTATTTCTCAGCACATGTTAACCTTGAGATGGGTAATTGATACATGAAGATTCATTGTAATTGTCTCTGTAATATGTATATATATGCTTGAAATGTTTCATACTTTGATCCCCTGCACTAAAAACACACATTTCATACTGAAAGGTTAAGATGTTTTAAATATTCGTAGCCTTGAATTTATTTAAGGAGCTTTAAATTTTTCTATTTAAATTATTAATTTTTATTTAAATATTAAATTTAGTTAGAGGACAGTTGTAAAATTTACTTTGAAAATTATGTTGTTAATACTGTTATAATAAAGAATTTACACTATAATACTTTTTTAATGAATAAAACTTCTTACTTTTATTGCCTGTGTTCATATGATATATGGTAGAGCTAAAGACCACAGGGTAGCTAATTCTGAAGCAAAGAAGAACCTTCAGACAACTAATTAATTAACCTCAATTTACATAATGGTCTTAGTATTTGCATAGTTAATGGGCTAGGGATTGATTGCAGGCCATTAACAGTTACTAGTAAATGAAACTATGTTTGAAAAACATGAGTTCGTATTTCAAGTTTTAGGGGCAAAAGTCAGTTATGAGATGTTAACAAAATTCAGAGCATCAGGCATTAAACAAACTAACATTTAGCTTTATAGACTTCATGCATTTCTGAAAGGATAATTCATGAATGTGCTAATTGATCACACCTCTATGCATACAAAGGCACATACAAACATACATGTGTACTTTAGGTAAACTTTCATTAGCCTTACAATTATATTTAAATTACAGTAATGGGAGCTAGTTTTGTTATATTTAACTATAAGAACTTCCTATATCTCTATTCCTAAAAATCACAGGTTTTTCTCAAGAAATGCTACATTCTGCAACCTAAATATTCAGCAAAATTTTTTTCTAAATCTTTTCAACTATTTCAAAGAAACATTACAAAATTTTCAACTAATCTTTTCCATTTATTTGTATGTGCAATGTTATATAATTTAGAGCTACCCTAACATTTTGTCAACTTGTTTAAACAATTCAATTTACAAGCTGAAGCATCCTCTGTATTTATATAAAAAAATACTGCAGTTTAATGATTTTAAAGCTTAAAAAATGTGGTCTGTTATTTTGAAGGAATTTAATTCTGCCAGTATGCATTCTGACTGAAAACAGTTTGAATCCTTTAATTTCAAAGACACATTGTATATATAATCTGATTTTTTTCAAATGATCAGACAGTACTTTCACAAGCAACTATACAGTTCCTTCCACTTGTTCAATAAATAAGGTTTATAATAAATAAAAAGAATTACCTTTATCCAATTATTTGCAACATCTTTTAAATTTTGTGTCAGTGCCTTTCACAAATGGACTTTCACTTGGTTTACTGTGTGGGTCAACTATATTTCACTGAAATGTTGAGAAAAGATTTTAGCTTCAAAAAGAAGTCTTAAACTCCAACTCTTCATTTACTGTCATTTTTTTTTAAGTTCCACTGAAACTTTCTTGTGTTTGCAAGATGGGGTTATAATTTTTTCATTTTATAGAGATGGGTGTGGATTAAATATGATGTTATATGTAATTTGTGATTATTGTTAGTTACCGATTTAAAAATGTTTTTCCCTCTACTTTAAGGAAATATGTAAGTACAAGAAGCCACCTGGTGGGGCTGGGGTTGTGGCTCAGTCATGGAGCTCTTCCCTAGTATGTGTGAGGCACTGGGTTCGATTCTTAGCACCACATATAAGTAAATAAAAGAAAGGTTCATTGACAACTAAAAAATATTAAAAAAAAGAAGCCACATGGTTCAGGCAATGTCTAGTAAATACACATTCATTATAGTTTATGTTTTATATGCTTATCCAGGGTCTCTCCAATGAATTAAGAAAAAGGTTTATTATATACTGATAATAATGGTATTTTAACAATATCACATACATAGTTTGACAACAGTATTTTACTGCCTTGACATTTCAAGAGTATGAAACCTCTCACAGAATTGCCATATACCAGCTATTAAAATGAATGATAATCATTTCCAGGTATTAATGATATTCCTTTGTTCTCCACTGAGAAATTTGTTTACATATATATTTAACTAGAATATCAGCAGAAACACTATAAAATTCTTGTCAAGCTCTTAAGTAATATAACTCACTTTTTGAAGGAACTCGGAGATTGGCGAGGACCACTTCCAGGGAATCGGCTTGGACTCGAAGCACATAACTTGTTCTTGTTTCATAATCCAGGGGGGCATTCACATAGATGACACCTGTGATGTTATTGATTCCAAACTTATCTAGAATTTAAAATACAGTTACTAGTCATTTCCTTCGCATTTGCAAGGGAATAATTCTCTTTAAAAGAGAGTATGGTTTCAAGAACACTTAATTGTAGCAATTATAAAGTGTGAAGTATGAAAGTGATAAGGCACCAGCTTTGGAAACTATATTCCAGCCCTGGAAATAATAGACATCAGTATTTCCCCAAATGATACCTTGAAATTATAATTAATTATGTGTGTTGTTTTGAGATTCTTCTGGATATCAACGCTTCTGTGGTCTTTATGCTTGAAAAGTGGCGTATAATACGCTACTCACCACCACAGGTTCAGATGGTCTTCTACAATAGTAAAACATTTTAGATACGTCTTTTAAAAAACCCATTTAATTTTGCTTCACCAAATATTTTCTGGTTTTCCTAATAACTATACTTTCAATAATTTAATGGATCTTACTCTATGGATTAGTGGTCTGCTAAGAACTTCTTAAAGAACAAATGGTTTATTTAATTGTAGGTTATATTTTCAAATTACTTATGATTCTAATTATCTTAAATATTTTCATCTGATTTCTATATTTTATAAATGTGTATATATGCAAATATATAAATATATTTTTTAAAGTGAAAAACACAGAACATTTTTCAGTTTATAATGCTGCACCTTTTGGATTCTCCATATCCTTTCCTCACTTTTCTCTGTATCATTTATGACCATCTAAAATATTACATATTTATACATTTGATAATTTTTATTATCCATCACCTCTCATTGGACTGTTAAATCCTATGAGTGTAGGGATCTATTTTGTTTACTGTTCTATCCCTAGAGGCTGAAAGAAAAATTATTCCATAATAGATGTATAATAAATATTTGTTGAATGAAATAACAAATGAATTAAATGTAAAACAGTAACTGTGAGGGATAGATGATAATAAATAGAATCATATTGCTATCTTCAAGGAAAAAAAACAGATGGAAGTAGAGAGGAAAAGTGTTGTAACCAATTGAAGGACTACAGCTTTAGTTAGATGCTGGAAGTCCAATAAATAAATTAAAAAATAAATAAATAGGAAGCTCATTTTTTATCTAGGCGGGAGGCATAATGGCATCATATTGGCAAAAAAAAAAAACAAGAAATGCAATGAGGAAAGTAAGATGTTGAGCACTGGCTGTAGGGGCAACAGTGTCTAGTAATAGTGAGTCACTGGCAATTTCATTGGTTTATTGTGAAAACACAAGCTAAAAATCAACTCACCTTCTTCATTTCCTGAAACAATGGAGTACACAATACTTTGATTGATGGCTGCAGCAGAAATTACACCAACTGTGGTCCCCCTGGCTGCAAGTTCACTTACTGGAGGAGGTCTGTAAATTTAGAGATAGCAATTTATTTATTTTAAGATTATTTTTTAAAGTCACTTTAGGTTCACAGAAAAATTGAGGGGAACTTAAAAGATTCCCCCCATATACCTTCTGCTCCTACATGTACATAGCCTCCTCCATTAACGTCATCCCATGTTACAGTGCTACTTTTGAGACAGTTGATGAAACTGGATTACATGTCATATCCACCTCAAATCAATAGTTTACTTATGTTTTAATTTTGGTGTTACATATTCTGTGGTTTGGACAAGTGTTTAATGAACAATATTCACCATTATAGTATCATACAAAGAAATTTTACTGCCCTAAATATTCTTGGCACTTCACCTATTTGTTCAGTCCCTAACAAACACTTATCTTTTTTGTAGGTCCAGTTTTGCCTTCTCCAGAAACGTTATAGAGAAATGGACTCATAAAGTATGGAGGCTTTACAATTGAAATCATACTATACAGCCACTATTCAGATTCATAATATGCACCTAACCTTCTTCTTCATTTTTTTCATGGCTTGCTACCTCATTTATTTTACAGCTGAATAATATTATATGAACTAGAAGCACTGAAGTTTATTTCCATATATGAAGAAGCCTTTGTTGCTTCCATGTTTTGACAATTGAGAATAAAGGTGCTATAAATATCAGTTTACAGGGTTTGTATGGCCATAAATTTTCAACCTCTTTGGGTAAACACAGAGGAGTATGACTTCTGGATCATATGGTAAGATTTGGTTTAGTTTTAAAGAAACTGACCAAGTAGATATACAGATTTTTGTTCTTTTCATTAATGAGAATTCCTGTTGCTCCTTATTCTTACCAACATTTGTTGTTGTCAGTGTTCAAGATTATGGCCATTCTAAGAGATGTGTAGAAGTATCTATTTATTTGGAATGATAAGAGTTTTGATTTTAATAATAGAGTATGTATAATATTATACATGTGCAAGTTTATTTGAGTAATACCACTATCTGGTGCTTCAGAGAAAATACCATATTAAAACTTCAAATCTAAAAATGATGTTCAAAATTATGCAAATGATCCTGGTTAGAATGCCTTATAATATATATTATTTTAATTAAAATAAAGCATAATATTATTCTATTATCTGCCATATTACATACAAAATTATTTTCAATTTCCAAAGTAACTTCTGGACTGAAACCAATAGTTACATGCATTTGCTAACTCAAATTTTTGAAATAAAATGTTGCTCTTGTGTTCATATTTAAGCATATGGGCTTCATATAATTTTTTTCTTATCCTAATCCTGATCTACTATAAATTTTTAACTATATCAAAGTATTTGAATGGGTAGCATAACAAAATTCACATTTCATTTTAATTCACTTATTTTGCTTAACTGTAGACATATTATTTCTCTAGTAATTTGGTATCTATATGACTTCAAAAATATTCATTAATACCTTACTTCATTTTCAAAATATGATTTTATAAATTGGTTATCATAAGTAGGCTATCATAACTATCTTCATAAATTTATACCAAGCAATCATTCTCTATACACAATAATTTAATGTCATCCATTTTTGATAGATTTAAAAAAGGATTAAGCATAGGTCCTAGCAACATTTCTTCATCTTTTTTTCTATTCCAGTTACTATAGTCCATCTGATTTCTGTAAGATTAACCTCTGGCCTCAATCTTTTTTTATATGACAGTGGAATGCATTACAATTCTTATTACACATATAAAGCACAATTTTTCATATCTCTGATTGTATACAGTATATTCACACCAATTCATGTCTTTATACCTCTACTTTGGAAAATAATGATCATCACATTCCACCATCATTAATAACCCCATGCCCCTCCCTTCCCTTCCAACCCATCTGCTCTATGTAGAGTTCCTCTATTTCTCCCATGCTCCTTCTCCCTATCCCACTATGAATCAGCCTCCTTATGTCAAAGAAAATATTAGGCATTGGTTTTTTGGGATTGGCTAACTTCACTTAGCATTATCTCTCTAACTGCATCCATTTAACTGCAAATGCTATGATTTTATTCTGTTTTATTGCTGAGTAATATTCCATTGTGTATATATACAACATTTTTTTCTATCCATTTATCTTTTGAAGGGCATCTAGGTTGGTCCCACAGTTTAGCTATTGTGAATTGTGCTGCTATAAACATTGACTCATAGTGGGATAGGGCATGGGAGCATGGGAGGAATAGAGGAACTCTAGATAGGGCAGAGGGGTTGGAGGGGGAGGGAGGGGGCATGGTGTTATTAATGATGGTGGAATGTGATGATCATTACTATCTAAAGTACATGTATGAAGACACGAATTGGTGTGAATATACTATGCATACAACCATAGATATTAAAAATTGTGCTCTATATATGTAATAAGAATTGTAATGCATTATGCTGTCATATATATATTAAAATTTTTATATAAAAAAAGAAATTGGATGTAAGAAAACTTTTTGAAATCAGATGGGTTATAGTCATAGATTGGAAAATTTTTGAAAAACTGAATTTCTTTTTTGAGGAAGTATATATTACTTGCCTATTTTGTTAGTGAGATGAGCTAAGTTTGATACATTCTATAGTTAACCTCTTTTTTAGTCTTAATAATATATATACAAATATTTATACATATATATAAGATGACTGCTAATAATCTTTTATCTTTTTTTTTTAATTTTTTTTTTTTTTTAATTATCGGCGGACACAACATCTTTGTTTGTATGTGGTGCTGAGGATCGAACCTGGGCCGCACGCATGCCAGGCGAGCGCACTACCGCTTGAGCCACATCCCCAGCCCAATCTTTTATCTTTAACATAAAATTTCCATCTCATTTTTCAAATATTAAAAATAATATTTTGTGTTCATTTTTTTATCCTAACTTCAAAATGACGATGAAAATATTATCATGGGGTGAAGAAACTGGCATAATTTAGAAGGCATTTAAATCCTATGCATACCACTAAGAGCATTTAAATTTCTATTTGTTAGTGAATGTTTAAAACAGATTTATTTCTAGACAAAATATCTTCTCATTAACCTTTGTCTTAATTGTTGCAGCACACTTCTTTTTATGAGAATAAAAACATACTATAAAAACGCAATTTTCTCCTAGCTAGAATTAAATGAACCTCTCTGATAATGAACATTAGATTGCAAAATCTCAATTCTTTTCTATTTATTGCCAGGAAGACCTATTTTATTATTGTTTTATGCCCTGGAAAGTATCACTTACATTATTGGGCAAATTACATACTCTACTTGGAGTCACATATAATTTGAATGTAAAACGAAGGAGTTGGTGTAAATCAGGGCTATAAGGTCAGATGAACAGAGAAGGTAGAATCAAAACCAAATGAAATAATGTGGGCTGGGTATAAATGAATAGGGAGAATGAAACTAAGGAATGGGACACTGCATAAGCACTATGCAATAATTGAAGCCCAGTGTGATCTTTCCAACTGACAAAGGATATTTAAGTATTTTATATGAATTTTATGAACTATCAAATTTTGGTAATTAATGGACATTTACTTTTTAAAGCATCATGGAACAAAATTTGTTTTATAGGCTGGTAGTTTTTTTTTTTTTTTTAAATAAATGTATCTACTAACACGTTTTCAGTTCTACCATTTTTTTTGACTGATAGAATGTGATTTATCATTCTTTCTTTTCTTTCCAGTGAGTATGATCAAAATCTATTGTTTAATTTCAGAAGAAATAATTATGGCCAAATAAGGAGTTTCTCAGAAGACTTAAAAAACAAATACTTCACTATTAATTCATATCCCTGCAATACATTCATTTATAGCATGTAATGTATCAGTAGCCCTCTTCTAATTTAACTGTTTTTTTTAAAATTTTAATTCGTTATATATGACAGCAAAATGCATTACAATTCATATTACACATATAGAACACAATTTTTCATATCTTCGGCTGTACACAAAGTAGAGTCACACCATTCATCTCTGCATATGTGTACTTAAAGTGATGTCCATCTCATTCCACTGTCTTTTCCTGCCCCCATAACCTCTCTTTTCCCCTCCTTCTGGGAGGATTAGATGAATTCTAATTTAACTTTTTAACGCTTGACTCAAAATGAAAAGTTACTGGGTCTCTGAAATTCAAGAATACCAATTTTCAAAACTAAATTTATTGTTGGTAAGACTCACAAAAAGTACACAAAATTAAAGAAGCACTCGAAACAGGGTTCATATGTACTCATTGAATTGGAATAAGATTTAGTTTATGGAATGTTTTGTCTTCTATTTATATAAGATTAAAACATCACAAAAAGTAAAATAAAAAAATAAAAAATTATAAAAAATAATTTTTAATTGTGAAAAATAAGAGAACTATACTGCCAAAGATTCAATATATCAAGTAAGTGGTATACCAAAGTAAACTGTATGTATTTAACAGATATGGATATCCAATACTAGAAAGACCAATGGTTTCAGGCCTTCAGGAAGGACCTTCATTATAAGGTCTTTCATGAGAGATGCTCTAAATTGGGTGTGATGGCCATGTGCCCAGGAATATCTTGAAGAGAAACATTTCTAACTCCCTAATGGCAACTCTGAATTTTATTGGCTATTTTAAACCAAGTTGACAGTTTTTCACAAAAATTCTAAAATCACCTTAATTAATTCTTACAGACAAGCTTAAATAATATTTTTATTATAAAACAAACTATGATAGAAACTAATTTTAAATTTGATTATCTTGTTCATATTACTATTTGCATTGTATCGGACTCTCTAAATTTCTATGTAAAACAGCCATACATTTTTTTAATTAATAGGCATTATTTTTGTTTTTGTTATTGAGAAAAATATTAGATAATGATAGTTTCATAATGCCTAGCATTTAACTATTTATACATCCTTCCAGAAAACCTTGATAGCTACTGAATTATTTTTTATTTCCTTTTTATTATCATTTATATTTTAAATGACAATTAAAAGCACAGGTATTTATGTTGTACAGCA